GGGGCTGCCGCCCTCTGGGATGCTCCCTGCCGTGAACACGCTGCCGCCTAGAAGGCCGGGCCGCTACGGTTCTCACATCCAGTCTTTTCCCGGACCCTGGGGCGCCCTTGCGCGTTGGCGGTGGCACGTGCTCGCCCAGCTGGGCGTGGGCCCCGGCGTTTGGGTCATTCCCTCTGCCAGGTTATAAAAGAGTCCTTTGGAGTCCTCATTTGCTAGGAATTGTCTCGCTTGTGGACACCAGAGACCCCGTGGATTGTCTTTTCTCGTTAAGCCTAGGAATACCGTTAAGTATGTAAGCAGGTTTTTCTGTTGGGTGAATCTTGCTTCCCTGGGGCTTTTTTTGCTTGTTTTCGGTTTTTCTTGTCACCCTGACGAATGTAATTCCTAACTTCTGGAACAACCTTTGCGTTGTGTTCACTGCTGAGAACGGGGTTCACGCATATGGACAGACATCTCCTCTGCCTTCCAGCCTGTGACGAGTCGTGCAAGACGTGCACAGGCCCCACCAGCAGAGACTGCAGCCAGTGCGAGGCGGGCTGGGTGCAGGAGGACGGTGCCTGCGTGGGTAAGGCTCTGCCCAGTGACCCTCAGGACACCCCGCTGTGCTCTCTGCCCGTCCTGGACTTGTGGGGAGGGAGGCTCGGATGTTCTTGATTGTGTTTTAAGGGTCCCGCTGTGGAGGCAAGATTTACTTGAGTGAGACCTTGCCGGGGGCTGGATGCAGCCTAGACACTGGGTGGGGAGGGTGGCCCCTGCACCAGTCCTTGCCATCAGGTGGCCCCCTGGTCTTGTTGGCTCAGGGCCCTGGAGGGAAACCTGGGACTTGTGCCAACTGTGGCCCCATGTGCCCTGGTGTCATAAAAGAGACAGATGCCGGGGACAAGGGGACGCAGCGGGGAGAGGGTGGCCCCTGGCTATGGTGAGGATGGGATTAGCACAGGCAGGGTGCCCGCAGGGCCTGCCGGGGTGCATGGCATACGGGAAGCAGAGGCACAGCCCTCCTCTTGGCCTGCAGCCACACAGGCGCCCCGCCGAAGTCAGAAGTCAGCTGCCCATCGCAGGGAGGAGGCGTGGCCTTCCTGGCGCTCCCCTGCGCTGGGCTCTGCGCGGCCCTCGGGTCCCGAGGCCTCCGGCCCTGGCGTTGGGCCCACAGCCCTCCATCCAACACCGCCCAGGCAGCTAGGGCCACCACGTATGAGCAGGGACCTCAAACCTAGCCCCGCAGCGTCCCAGAACACCGACTCCAAGGGCTGACGGGGCCTGGGGGTCTGGCCCTGCCAAGGAGCCTTTCCTCAGGCCCAGGTGCTGGCAGGTGGGGCAGGGGGCAGGTGGAGGCTGGGGTCTCCTCCTCCTACCATGGCCTCGGTTTTGGTTTCACCCCTCACAGCTGCTTGGCCTCACGCAACTCCGGGGCCTCTGGCCTCTGTCCCAAATTAAGTGGAGAGGGGAGTGACCTCATCAGCCCAGACTTGGGGCTTCATCAAGGCCATGTGGAAGTGCAGGGTGCTCATGGGTCAGCCGTCTGTCCCTCACAGCGGCCCCTCCTTGCTGGCCCTGCACACGAGAGGCCTCCCAGGACAGCCGTCAAAACGCCTTCCAGGTGGTGATGACCGCTCTGCCCAGGCCAGCCCTGGCCGCAGGCTGTGAGCAGCCAGCACCTGTGCCGTCTGGAAGGCGGTCCAGGGGCCTGTGCTCATGGCCGTGCTGCTGTGTTCCAGACGTGGACGAGTGCGCGGCGGAGACGCCCCCCTGCGGCGACACGCAGTACTGCGAGAACGTCAGCGGCTCGTTCGTGTGCGAAGGTGCCCGCCCAGCTCTCCAGGGCTCCCTGGGGTGGGTCGCCTCCAAGTTCTGCATGGTCCCATTTTTTCCTGTTGAGACGCTCCTGTGTGGTTTGTCAGCGTGATCTCTGTTTAACGTGGCAACTCAATAACAGGTGTTTGCCAAAAAAGTCAGAGAACGCAAGTAAGTGGGAAGGAGACGGCCTGCCCCTCCCCGGAGGGGCCTCCCATGCTCGCTGCTCTGACTCCTGCTCGTATCTTTTCCCTCAACCACCTGGGACCACCTTTGTTCGCCGCGCTTCCTACTTTGTCAGTTGTTTTGGAGCTACCGCTATTGTGGAATTTTCTCTAACAATCCACGTTGTTGAGTATTTAAATCGCCCAGGTTTTCCACGGTTACAAACTGTGATGACCCCGCAGGTAGAGCTTTTCACATTCTTCATTATTTTCTTTGGCTCAATTTCCAAGTGGCTCTGTTCAAGGGAACATGGCTTGTAGGCCCCCGCCCTTCCCCGAAGGTCGTGGCAGCTCCTCGCCCACTGGCAGCAGGTGAGGCTGCTCCCCGAGTCTGTGGCCACGCTGGTGGCCCAGCATTTCCACGTTTGTGGAGACGTGTCTCCAAGGAGACGCCCTCAGAGTGGACCGAGCCCGGCTGTCGTTCGCGCTGAGCTCCCAGCGGGCGAGTCAGCAGCGTCATGAGCAGAGGGGCTTTGTTTTGAGAAAAGCTGCTGCTTCCACTCCACCGAGGGTCACGGAAGGGTCGCCTTAGCACTGCGGCCCCAGCCCTGTTGCTGCGTCCCGGCCCCTGAGGGACCTGGTGCTGTGGTCCGTTTAAGCAAGTTCACACTTCTCCAGGGAGGGAGGCGGGGTGCTGAGAAGGCGCTGCGCACTCCCCTCCGACGGGCAAGGACACTGGTCTGAGGCCTGCAGGGTTTCAGGCTACCTCTCTCCCTCTGTTCCCAGAGTGTGACCCCACCTGCGTGGGCTGCACGGGGAAGGGCCCCGGACACTGCAAAGAGTGCGTCCCCGGCTACGCTAAAGAGAGCGGCCAGTGCACAGGTCGGTGCTGCCGTGCGGCTGCGGGGCCTTCTGGGGCCGTGACGTGCGCAGCCCTGAGAGCTGCTGGCGGGGCGGGGCCCTGGGCTTGGGCTCTTCCTGCAAAGCCCGCTTCACAAGCGCTGCGGGGTCGGGGCTGGGCTCGCAGAGGCCGCGGGCAGGGGCTGGGGGTCTGGTCCTGGTGCTCCCAGGGCACTGCCCCCTCAGCTCCTGGTGACGCGGCCCCGTGGCTGCATGTCAGCCTCCAGGTGGAGGCCCGGCTAGCCCCCACTGGAGAGGCCACCGGGCCCCTGCCGTTGTCTGCCAGACTATGCCTTTGTCCCCACCGAGGGCAGGCCTCGGAGGTCCTGCTGAATTCTCCTGCACTCCTTTCCCGACGGGGCTTCTCCAGTCTCTGTGCTTGCTGTGTGTGAGTGAGTCCTGGCGGCTTGAGTCCCACGGTCCTTGGCGTGTGTTGAGCGAGCTGTCTTCACCTAGACGTGGACGAGTGTGCGCACGCAGGGGGCGTCTGTCCCAGGAGGAATGAGAACTGCTACAACACGCCCGGGAGCTTCGTCTGTGTGTGTCCCGAGGGCTTCGAGGAGGCCGAGGACGCCTGCATGCAGCCGCGGCCCGCAAGGGATGGTGAGTGTGCGGCCTGCCCGGCCCTCCGAGTGGCGTCTGGGTCCGCTGGCCACCTGGTCCCAAGTTAGAAAGTCACACAGAGTGGCTCTGGGATGGTGGTGGCCAGGGTGCCTGCAAGACAAGAGGTAGAACTCTGCAGGTACAAACCCCAGGGGGCTGCTGCACAAGAGGACGGAGGGACGGAAAGGAAGGTCTGCACTGGTTCCCGCAGGGAACGCGGGAGGAGGCAGAGGCAGGTGGTCTCCTGGGAGCTCTGGGCGGCCGTGACAGAGCGCCGCAGCCCGGCGTGTCAGCCACGGAGACCGCTGTCTCCCCGTCCC